ACCAGTCCAGTCAGTCACATCAAGGTCCCCGAACCGATTTAGAAGTTGAGGAAACCAGCGATTCCGAGGTCGACGAATCCCTAGAAAGAAGATTTTTACAGATAATTAATTCACCAGAGCATTTTGACGCGTTGGTGCGAAAAAGCATAAATTACACAGAACCAAAACAAACAGCACCACAAAGAAGATTTCGCTTCGAGTCAAGTTCTAGCGACAGTACCGAAGAGGAAGGTTCCGAAGATTCTGCGGCATATAGTGAAGAATTATCAGCAGACGAACGTTCCAAAGATAACGAACCCCAAATGGATAGAGAACTAATCGAGACATTGGGAAAGATAGCGCAGCGGTTAGGATCTAAGGACATAAACATTTCAAAATTTTACGGATATGACCGTGAAGATATCGACCAATGGTTGGAAGAATTTGATTATCAATTAGAAGCGCGGGATATTTCTCCCGAGAGCAAAGCAGCCTTAACACAGCTTACCATACACATTGCCGGGCCAGCACAAGAGTATATTCGAACACTTCCCGCTGATCAACGAGCGACCCTTGGCTTAGTCAAGGATGCCTTGAAGCGCTGCTATTCCCATCGAAATCGTGAATGGGTACAAAGGCAACAGATAGCCCAACGACGGCAGAAACCAACAGAGCCACTTGGAGATTATGTGAGCGATGTGGTATCGAAGCTTCACAAATTGGATATGCAAGAGAACACTCGAGTGTATCATTTCATAGAAGGACTAAAACCAGAACTACAGATGGAGGTTCTGAAAGCAAAGCCGAAAACTCTCTCAGAGGCTGTTGAAACCGCTAGGGAGTTCGACGCTCTCCTTGTACGTGGTAATAAGTCCACACCAAGTGAACACACTACAGAGCAGGGTCTCATCAACAAGCTCGGAGAGCTAGTCAACAAACTGGCTGGCAATTCTGGAACAAGTACCTCCATAGGAAAGCAACCAAACCCAGAACATCCGATAGTCGCCAGGATGGAATCAATAATAACTAGAGCTGAAAACACACCTCACCATTCTGAGAGCCAAGAGTCGCGTAACCTTCTGCGCGAAATCCGTGAAATAAAGCAGAGCCTTATGGGAGAGATACAGGAACTTGACCGCCGAGTAGACGCTCGAATAAATGGCTTAGCCAGGCGAAATCAAAATAGCCGCAAAGAACCACTAAGACAGCGAACACGAGAGGGACGACCCATTTGTTACTCTTGTGGACGAGTTGGCCATGTGCAGCAAAATTGTAACCAGAGGTCTCCACGCGAACCCAATCAGAATTTCGAGTGGTACCAGCCAAACTGCCAACGACGCCAAGAAAGAGGAAATTATCCTCCCCGCTCCGGTTATAATCAGCCACAACTAAGGGATGACTCACCTTCTCGAAATCCAAGAAGCTCTCACTTAGCCGCCATAGATGGCCAAGGTTATGGAAATGATGAGATGGCCCCACTGGGACAAAATCACCACACGTTTCCACAGCGCAAACACGAATTCCTGGGAAAGGACTCCGGTGAAGACGACGCTCAAGCTGATGAGAAATTGTACCAACAGTACCAAAACGGGTCACGATTTTACCCAGCGACAGCCAGATATGATGAAGTACCAGAAAGCGAGTCCACAAGCGCGCTTCTGCCAGCTCTAAAAAACCAACTGAGCGTTTGTCAACAAACCGTAGAGGACGCTTATGCAAATGATGGAATTTATGGAAACACATCCCCTGACCACTCCGAGAATGACCTACAGGAAGGTCTGGTGACGAAAACCGACGCAGATATAGCCACCCGTCCACTGGGACCGACAAAAACTCTCAAGGCAGAGAAGAAAAAGCCTGACAGTAAGAAAAAGTGCCAGCCAAATAAACTTATTTCGTTCCCCGGGGCTGTTCGCCGAGCGCAAAAGACGATTGAAACCAACACCAGTCCAAGTATGAACCCTGAGAACGCGGTGGAAAACGGCTCTTCTCCAGATCCTTCTCCGCCACAGATTAGCACTTCCGCTGGATGTGAACCTGAATCAGTCATCTCAGTTCCAGATCCTTTCCTGCCACCTCTTAGAACTTCCGCCGGATGTGAACCTGAACCAGTCACCTCAGTTGCAGACCCCTCTGTGCCACCACAACTAAGTACTTCCGCCGGATATGAGGAAAATTTGCCACCCAGTGGCCCGGTTCCTGACGAGACCCCATATGAATCCATTGAAGCTACCGCTGTCCAATGTAACGTTACGTCCGATGAGCTCAGACCACGTGATTCTATGGTCACCGCCCAGTTGAATCAGAAAGACGCAGGGCCACTTGTAAACACCAGAGCAAACATGTCTGCCCTTGATGAACAGTCCACCAGAGACCTATTTGACGGAAAATTATTAAGGTTACAGAAAACCCCCCCTGACTGCCAGTTATCAGATTCAGAAGAGGAAGTTAGATGCTTTGAAGACAGTGACAATTGCAGCCCTCATCTTGTTCCTCACCAATTCCCAGACCGAGACTTTAGGATGCTTGCCATGCAAGAGCAAATTAACGAGCTTGGAATGAAGCTAAATGGAATCGCTAAGAGTATAGAGCCTAAACAGGAAGTTAGTTATAAATGGAGGAAGTACAGTTTCAAGACTAAACCCGTATGTTATCGATGTGGACGCCGTGGCCATATTCAGTATTACTGCAACTAATATAATGACGGTATTACTGCAACCAATATAATGACGGTTTCCAGAAGGAGAGACAGGTCCTACATCGTGCTACCAGACCAAATTACACTCAACCAGAAGAATCTTCCACCCACGAAGAAGAAAACCAATCGTATGCTGAGGGGACTGCATCACAACTCGAGAGTCAGGAAAACGCCACAAACAACCCTGATTTACTACAGAAGATGAAGCCAACACGAACTAGTAACCGGATTAGAAAGCCGAGAAATCCAAACCAGAAGCCAAGAAAGTTACAAATATCAAATCAGTCAAAAGTCCAGCTACCCCTCGTAAATGAAGCAGACGCGTACCCTAGCAACCTGATCACTAAAGGTAAAATAGCAGGAAAACCTGTTCGTCTAATGTTGGATACTGGTGCAAGCGTTTCAGCTATAAAAGAAGAAGTTTTAAAAGAGATCTACGGTGACGTTCCCTTTTCCACAGTTCAGACTGGGAAAGACAACCTACAGCTAAGAAGAATTACCTTGCCGTTATATCTTAAGGAAAGTCAGTTCCCTTGTGAATTCCAGGTCGTGCAGAACCTTACTTATGACGCCATCCTTGGTCGCGATTTCCTCCAAGTAAACAGAGCTATGATTGACCTCGATAATAACACCATTACTCTTAAAGAATCAGCAAATCAACAAGAGCGAGCATGTTCAGCCTCAGTGCCTTTGACAGGAACGTTTAAACCTCAAGAAAAGAATGTCAGAGGAAATGAACACGCCTCTACCAGTGAAGGTTCAGTGAAGCCTTCTGCAGGAATTTTGCCTTCCCGTTCTCCAAACAACAAAGAAGTGGCACTAAGCCAGTCACTATTGATATTAGTGCTCATTGCTGTGTCCCTGTCCGCAACATTTCACACCGACGCAAATGGTAACTTCAGGTCTGTTATCCAAAAACCACCACCGTCCTTCGCACAGGTGTCACAAAAGAAGGTTTGGCACCAAGGCGATCTTTTTGATGCTCCAGCCAAAATTGATTACAGAATGGAATCTAACGAGGGATTTGATCAATATAAAGAAGCACCTCCAGGAATGGAAATGCCTAAGTTCATGATGCACCTAAGGAGACTACTTATCCTCAGACCCATGACTGACTTTAGCAACACGTAGAGAGTACCACTTAGTTGTTGACCAGGAAGTAAGATAGGATCAAGACGATTGTTAACTTGTTATTTTTTAAATTCTTCCAAGAAGTAGGTTAACAACTCCTTAGTAAATAGAAGATTACGCGCAGTAAGAAATACGACATAAGGGCATACAATAAGAGAAATATTGCTTTAACTCGAGACAGATTTATCGGTTATAAGAATGCCAAGTTCAATGGTCATTATGACCACTACGTTTTCTAGGAGTTTCCTCGACCAGGAGGTCTCGATTTAAGGTGGGAGGAATGTTACGGGAAAATTTACTGATTTTTCGGAGCATATTTATTCGTAAACTTTTACATTTAACCATTTCAAGTCCTTTCATTTTAATAAATCAAAAAAATGTATAAAAACCACAGTAGCTTTTGAATAGATTTTTGTTGTTACTCGCTTTCATCATATGCACCTGCTTGTCGGCACTTTTGTTGTTTATTACATGGTTTTTTTAGGTAAATGTAAGTGTTAATGGTCTTTCTGGAAACATTGGTTTTCATGGTAGATAGCAGCTGAGTTTATATTCGTAAATCTAATTTCTTTTCATGCAATGGTTTCCAAACCAATCTTGTATAAATAAGCAGAAACTTTTAATTGCTTTTTGGTTTTTTTATTTCCTGAGCTGCGCTACTGCAATTAAGATAGGTATTGTTTTCTATACCAGAGCTGTAAATTCGCACCTAGGTTTCCTACTTTAATGGCCTAAAGTTTATTGCATCCGTCTTTTTAATTTTGAGATTCTTTCCGTCGTAGAAACAGATGGAATAATTAAGTAGTTTTCGTTTAACTTCAAAGAGACTTTTTTCCGCTCCTTTGTGTCCTTATTCAAATATTGCGATTTGTGTAACAATAGCACTTCGCACCAGTTACTTCTTAAGCAAGTACCTTGTACAGCTTTGATGATTACAAACTAGAGTATGCTAGAGGTCATGTCGCTTGTTGGCCTGACCTAGAATAAAAGTACTGTGGAACCAAAGATTGTCTTATCCTTGACGTCCGTATAAGCTCGCTCGAAGTAGATCTCCGTGTACCAGGAAATCGTGACGAGTTTCCGTTCTCGCTGCCAAGTCGTCTCTACAGAGTTATTTCCCCCAGTTGTTGTTGTCCCGTCCGCGAAGATTCAGTTTCCAGTTTTGGGGCGAAAACCTATCGTCACACACGTTTGAATAAATTTTCGAGAGAGATGTTACTCTTTAGAACCTCAAAACATGCCAAGTAATAAATTTTTATGTACACTTTTAAACAGTGGAGATACAAATCGAATGATCCCTGAGATACACTTCTTAAGTTCACTTCTATTTCATAAATTTTCAATGTCCACCCTTCTGGTTAAAGTAGCTAGGCCTCTAACAGAATCTGATACATTCCTCAACATCGTTCCTTGTGCGTTCACACGACCCTCAAGTCGTGTGATTCTTTCCTGGACAGCCGCCGTATCCCTAATGAGCCTCGCAAGTTCCACGCTTTGGTTACTCTGCTCATTTTGCAGGGTGTTAAAATTCGCTTGATGATCATCGTGCTTCATTTGGTGAGCATTAAGAGAGACTTGAATATGGCGTAATCTGTTGTTGACGTCGCCGACCGCATCTTTTAACTGATCATTTTCTGACACCAGGTGAGAATTAACATTAGCGATGTAGTTTGTAACTTCATTTTGTTCCGAAAAACAGCGAGTCAGGCGAGCAACTTGATTTTCAAGGTTGATTAATCTTTGCTCATGTCGATCAGAATCATTTGGAACCGAGTTTCGCGAGCATGCGGTGTTTCTCGCCATGGTAGCGTTAAGGGAGGGGTTCAACTCCTCTTTAAACTCCAAGTAATTTTCGGCTGAGTTCCTATTTTGTCCCGCTATATTACCAGACAACAAGAAGTTGACCTGACGAGGAAGATTGGCGTTGATATGCCCTTTCTGCAAAAGAAATAAAACCAAAAACCTAGTTATCTCAATGGTTCTTTCATCATCATCATCTGGGAATAGAGGCCACTTGGAAAGAAGAGATGTGAAGCACAGCACAGGAAAGTATTAACAAATCTATACTTACTGGAATTTTTAAAGTACACAACTTTCCTCGATTGATAAATACAACACTCTGACTGAAATTATAATCTTACCAGTTAAAACCCGAAATTTCTCATTCTAACTTTTTGTCTCACTCATGACTTTGTTTCAGTTGATTACTAAGTGGTTACGCTTGGAAGCTAAAAGAAATGCAATTAGAGTCGCAGTGAACTAACAGCTAGAAGCTTTTTCATCACCTCCATTACATTGGTACTGCCTTGTTCATTGCAAGATCGTTTTGTCTTCAGTCTACGGGCACGATTTTCTTCAAAGTGCCCGTGACGGTCAGCTCGACACACATTCATCCTTACCTTATGACAGTCAACTCTTTCCCTGGTTGGAGAATGGTTCTGTAATGAGAAAAATTATACATCCCTTTACCAAAATGAGTCTGTCGCAAATTGGAAAATATCACTTGAATGACTTTCAAATAGATTGGATAAGTAACAAAGCAAATAAAGTTGCAATAAACGCAAATTTCACTCGAAAATCGTTCATGACAGAATACGGTGGCCGGGATCGTGCACTTCTCGGCCGAAACGAAAATCTCGAAGTCTCGCCGAAATTCAGTAATCAAAAGATAATCAAACTACCAAGATGTTTAGAAGACGTGACTACAATCGACAGTACAAAGTCAATGAGTTGGGAAAAGTGTCTCGCGCTCTATGCCGAAATTCGCAAAGCTAATGCTTGCGACCACCAACAGACAACTTGAATAAAATGATACCAAAATTTTCATTCTGAAGGTGCGAGAATTTGTCAACTCCAGTTCCTGGAGTGAAGGTCAGAACTCTTCTCGAGAAAGGCTAGGGGAAAAGACGTAATGCTATGTGAGCACTTACCGTCTAAGATGAAGGGCAGCTACGGAAAATTAAGATTTCAAACTTTCAGTACATTTCTTTCGTCTTTCAGAAAAAAAACCTTAAGATTGTCACACAGTGACCTAACGGTCAGTACACTGGACTCCGGAACGAGAGGTCTGGGATCGAAACCTGGCCACGAGTCATTCTTGGACAAGACACTCTTACTCACGGTACCTCTCTCCACCAGAAGGAATGAATCGATACCGACGAATTTTCAAATTTTCCGAGCGAAATGCAGAGGATAATCTTCGATGGACAAGCATCCAATCCAGGGGAAGTAGCAGTACTCTTAGTCGTTTCATGCTACACAGTCCGAAATAGGTTCCAGTGCCTTGTGGGCCACTTGGATCAGGTTCAAGTGTTACCTTTACATTTCACCTTCCCTGTCAGACAATGACAGTCGACCACTTTTATGGCTGTCACATGACAATTAGTTACGGAACTAGCGTTGATGCTTAGAGGCAAAACCACATTAAAATACTGAAAGAAGCCATCATTCTTGTATTTTTTGACACTCACTTAATTTGTGGTTTCTCACTGGGGATAATTTTGAAATTTTGAAATTTTGAAATGTCTTTCAAAGAGCTTTCCCTCATTGTTTTCTCTGTGTTCAGTATACTAGTTTGAGGAAAAAAACTTCCATTCTCTTTTTCATTACCTGAAGGTATGAAGATATTACGAATGTAAACGCCCGTGTTTGTTCCCTCGTGTATTACCTGTACGCGTTATTTGGCAAAAACACCATGGCGACAGGTAACATGGACAATTATGAAAGATCATTAGCCGGTATTGATGTCAAATACTAACACAGGCCATGCTATTACCTATATTACATATCGCATTTATGAAATGCTTAAGTAAAAAAAAATTAATAAACCAAACGTCTAAAAACATCTTTGTGCGACAACGCGCGAAAATTGGCCAAAGCTTAGTCACCTTTCTAACAATGGCGCTGCCTTCTTCATGGCAGGATCGTCTTGTCTCTGATCTACGAGCACCATCCCTAACAACGAGCTCGGAAGAATCAGCATTTATCCCAAACTCAGGACAGGCAGCTGTTTCTCGGGTTGGAGAACTGTTCTGTCATAGTACAAAGTAACAAACTACAAATTGTTATAGCCTGACGATTAAACGTTTATAATTTCCAAGAAAATATAGAATTAAAAAAAATACAAAATGAAGACTTTCTCTGAAAGTTTTATCCAAACCATTAATATCAATTTCTAGATTCAAGGTTATGAGTAAATAAGCATTGTGGCGGTTGTTGAGGGTTTGCCTCAGTTTAAAAAATTCATGTCGGTGTTAATAAGATCTTTTTGTGGTTACGTGAATTCAATCACTTTGAAAACATTTCAACAATACATAGGAAAGCTTGAAAAAACTTTCAATAAAATCCGAGCTAAAAGGAAAGGCTTTCATCGTCTTGTCACGAGCACGTCAAAGAGGAATAATGCGAGTCCCCATTAAGAATCGAAACCAGACCTTGGGGTTCTGCGCTTCGATGCTCTACCACTGAGCCACAGAAAACAATGAGCCCGTGTAACGAGTTAGATAATTACTGGGTTCATATCTGACACGCATTCCGTATACTGCTCGGATCAGCAGTTCCGATGGATAAATTCACATTCCTTTTTCAGAGAAGTGATATAGTTTTTTTAATTTTCCGAAGAGTAAACTTCTGCCTTAACCCTCTATATTTCCCCTTACGTGCCCACACGAATGAAGGTTATCGAAAACTTGCTGACCTGTGGGTTTTCGCCATCCTGTGCTTCTTGGCGGTGGGCAGGCATGGGACGTTGGGTGTGCGAATCCTGTTTCAACATAAATTTCATTACATAAATCCATGTGTTGTGGATGTTTATTCGAACAATTTTCGGGATATTATTTAACAAAACGACCTGCTCCATTTCATTGGGAAAAGTGTTCTCTAGGTTCAAATTTGAACCACTGGTATAAAGAAATATACCTCGTCAATTGGATCTTCATCCGTTTCAGTTCCAATTTGATTCTGCGAAAAAATAACGTTAAGGAATATTACAATTGCCTGCCATTGTTCTTTTGATCGCAAACACTATTTTCTATCACATTTGGAGGAACAAAATCGATAAGAAGAAAGATGCCAAACTGACCAACCTCAACAACATTATCAGTAAGTAAGAATTCTCTTTCGTCATCTGTTCCAGTAGAAAGCGTGATATCGCCCTCACACTCCTTTTGCTCTCCTCTTTGAATGCTGGCCAAACTGCAGCTTCCTACATGACACTAAAAGGTGTGATGCAAAACAGCAATAAAATAAAAGTTGGAATTTTATGACTGAGTTAGAAGAAGCTTCCTGGGACTGCGTTCCATATTTTTTTTAGAGTGGGAGACGGTGGTTAACATATTCAAGTGGGGGGAGGGGTGGGGAAGACTTGTAATTGACAAAGGTTTATATTATGATACAGTAAACACATAGAATACAGTTAAATTATTAAGGTATTACGATAACTAATAGCAAAGTTAACACACACGTTAGTACACAGGGTAAGGCAATTTTGGTCGGCTAAACTGTTTTAGAATATTTTAGAAATATCATAATATTACATTAATTAATCTTAACAGTATTGAATAACTAATTAAAAAACAGCTGAGATTAACATAAAAATTAAAACCAACAGTTATGGGAGTGAAGTACCATGACAAAAACTTCCCTCCGTGATCTCACTTTCACCACTAATTTTGGCAAAGTGTAAAATATCACAACTTTCTGTGACTCTTTTTTTAATAACTTTTTCAAAGTTTTAACCTTTCAAGTGAAAGTTAACAACTATAAGCTGTTTTAAAGGATATGTTACAAAAATTAAACAGTTTTGGAGGAATATTGTCTTGTCCCTTTCAACCCAATAACCATTGTTTTTAAATACATATCACTGCACAAACGAAAAAATTGCCTTTGGGTGAGGCAAAGAGTAATTTTGGATGCTATAAGGAAAGGGAAGCTACTTTTATTCAGGCTGATCAATGCTCATTTTTATACAACACACATACCCTGGATATCCAATCCACTGTTTCCTGGTTGAATTGAAATTTATATAATGATATACATGTACATATATATTAATACATATACATTTATATGCCATAAATCCACAGGCTACAAAGATCTAGGGTTGACTGAAAAAAACACTGAACTAATGCCTCTAGCAAAAAAGGAAAAAAAATCAGGCAATTTGCATACTCATATTGATTCTCTGTATGTGTGTGTCAAGACAAATTATGTCATACTGTATGATGTGAACATTCTTTATACAGTGTAGTGGTAACCTAAAGTAAGATTTTGTTCTTTCTTACCTCAGATTCTTTCAACTCTCCTTCCCATTTACATCCTGCCTCCAAGAATAAACAATGAATTATGGTACTCTCAACTTTACTGCTGATTATGTCATCTGGCAAGAACCTAACAAAAAGGGAGTGGAATCAGGAAGCATCACAGATTATTCATATGGTCTGTGCAAGAACACAGAGGAACTTTATTGAGCCATGGTTTGTTCATTCACTGCCTCAGTATTACCATGTTAAGCCTATGCCACTCACACAAGTGGTTTCAGGTAGTACTGAAAACATTTTGAAAGTTTGTTTGATTTTTTCAACATACAACTTCTTGCAAATGCAATTTAAAAAAAAGAAAGGAGCAATGAGGTAAGTAAGGGCTTATAGAGCAAACCAAATAGCATGATTACTGCCTGAATAATACTGCCAATTCTCCTGTAACTGATACCATCATTTGAACACTTGAGCAGTGCAGTACATCACTAACAACATTTATTAAATTTTTCACCTTGTGGTCTTTCTCAATAATGTCTTGGAAGTTAGTCCCAAGGTAAATTTGAGCATTTTGATTAGCTCTCGCTTGGCTAAGATATTGTCATATTGACCATTTTCTCAGAAACAGTCATAAGCTGTGTATTTTTTCGCTAAAGCTGGCAAATTCACATTAAACAAGTTTGATCTGGTTGCCCTTTAATAAACCACTCACTAACTTTGCTTGCTCAAGCAATACTAAAAAGGATTGGCCCTTGGTTGATTGTGTATAGACCTTGCTGCACTCAGTCCATACAAAAACAACCTTGAGCCAATATTCCCCAGTATAGCCATCACGCTTGGTTAGAAATATTAAGAAGCTAGTGGTAAATTTACCTCATGAATAACAATTATCAAGGCAATTCTACAATGTATAATCTTATAACTGGGCTCAATGCTAATACCTGTATACCACCAGTGCCAAACATGAAGATTACCTGATAATGGAAGAGAGGTGTTCTGCACTTTCTGCAGTAAGCTACTGCTCCTTGATTTCCCCTACTTGTTGTCAAAAAATAGCTAATTAGAATTAAGAATAAAATACTGTGCAGCAAGTAAATGTTGTGGGTATCAATTCTTGCCTATTCTGCAAGTGGATCCCAAAATCCCAAAATAAAATGATGATTGTGTTCTACTTGTTGTATCAGATAATTAACCAGTAAGGTTTTAAGAGGCAACAGAATTCAAGGACTTGTTATAAATTCAGCAAACCATCTCGGCAAAAGATGTTACATTTCCTTAAGTTCCTTGAACAAAAAATCACAAAAATAAGTTTAAGGAGAAGTAACCATCATCGTCATCATAAACCACTAAACTCCCACAAATTTATATGTTGCAAGGCTCTAAAGACTCTTTCTCATAGTTGACTATGATGACTAAAAACCATAAAATGGTCACCATGAATAAACTGTGTCATTAAGAGAGAATAAAAACACTTGCTGGTAATCAGTTTTAGAAGTTCATGCTATTTCACAGAGCTTTTAACTCAGACAACCAGGGAGAAATACAACATACACAAGATAGAGAGACTTCCTAAACAATAATGCTCCAATTTACATTATACATTTTGAAAAAGCTTATGAGGCCTGAAAATGGACTGTTCAGTGTTTTGGTCACAAACATTGAAACTTCTCAAAGTTGAATCAGTTCTTCAGCAAGCAAAGCATGAGACATTGCATTGACTCTCTGTCACACTATCCAACAAACTGTTTGTAAATGGAACTCTAATCCTCAGTCAGTACTAATCCAGTATGCGTTGACATAATTAGACCAAATACATGTGTAAGTAGTATTATGCACCCGTTGGAGTAAAACCTTGCACCCCTGTGGCCAGGACATAGAGGGGTATTAGACTGTTGCTCAGTGCTAATCTTGTACAATGCCCTGCACCCCAAGGCCAGCTTTTTTCTTTGAAAAAAGGTGGTAGACAAAGGCTAATGTAAACACTTAAACTTTGCATGGAACTTCCACACATTAACCCATTGACACCTAATCTGCTCATAACAACCCCAACTTCCCCTGAACCACACATAACCACCTGTGCATAACAACCCCAAATTTCTCTGAACCGCCTGTAACCACCCATAAAAAAGGTGATCCTATTACAATCTCACCCCACTCTCCCCTAGTGGATCTTTGTGTTTTGTTGCTATCATAGTGACTTCTAAGGATGATAAACCAATCATTTAGCCTTCTTTCCTCAGATTTTGATTACTAGTTAGAGGTGCCACTAAAGATTTCTGAAATTTTCATATTGAAGCACACAGTTTATGATGGCTGACAAGATTTCCAGGGGTTAAAGCACTTTTTGGAGACCCAGGGGATTAAGGAAGCTGTGATGGGTTTAATGAGCTTGATAGGAAAGGTTTAAATTTAGGTAATGAGTTTGAGTTAGATCCACATGATTTAGAGGCTGGAGACAAAGATATCAATGCTGAAGAAGAAGCTCACTGGACTAACTAGCTTGACAATATCTAAGTTCACCAATTTGTAGCCTCTACAGGCATTAATTAAGTCTTAAATAATCCCAATGAACTAGACATATTTTTAACTTTCATTAGTGATGATTTTAATGTGGGATAAAAAATGGTCGAGGAAAGTAATCATTATGCGCACCAGAAGTTAGGTGATCAATTTGAAAGTTTTTGTGCCATAACACAGGTTGAAATGAAGGCACTCATAGGAATTATTATAAGTATGGGTATTGTTAAGCTTCCAGCTTATGCTCTTTACAGGTTAGGTGATGAATGTTTAGGAAATCTAGGGATTAAGAAGGTAATGGCTAAGAGTAGGTTTGAATAATTAACTTATTTTATACATTTTAATGATTCAGCTATGGAGTCAACAGAGATTACAATCACCTTTTCAAAGTTTGACCTGTTTTATATCATGTCCACACTAAATGTGGGGGAAACTTTCTGCCTACTAAGTATATTTCTGTAGCTGAGGGTATGACTTGTTTTCGGGGGAGGTTATCTTTTAGGCTGTACATTCTGGCTAAGCCCACTAAGTATAGGATAGGGGTTTGGATGGCCACCAGTCATAGTATTAAGGTTATGTACTGAATTTTTTAGTGAAGAACCTAATCAGCGGCCAATTATTTACAGCTTAGGGTATGACCTGGTGACTAGTATGATTAGGCCTTACAAAATAAAATCAACACACATTTTTTTTTGGACAGTTATTTTTCAGCTAAGTAATTAGAACATTTAGAAAGTAATAACAGTAAGGCTTGTGCCACCACAAGATCTTACTGAAGGACTAATGCCTCCATGAGTAACAATAAGTTGCATCCTAGGGAGAAACAAGTTCTTAAAAAGGGTTATGTAACTTTTACTAAGCTGCATGACAAGAGAGATGTTAGTGTAAATTCCTCTAATTTTAGTCCTTTAGCTGTAGATTTAGAGGGTTGAAATTGATAACACCCATACCACGCATCACTACAATCATCTTTGCTAAGGAACACAAATAACCTCAAACAATACATATCAAGTGGTAAATTGTTTGTAGTGTTTAGGTCTTGAGTTAACATTTACAGAAATAAGGAACCATCTTTTCAATTCCAGTCTTAGTTCATCCCCATTTCTCCACCAGTCCTAGATGGCATGCAAAAGCCATCAAAGTTTTGGAAAATTCCCCACATGTCCTAATCCCAGGGGTGCAGGGGTTTACATTGCCTAGTGATGCCTACCTGAAAAGAAACTCCACACATGACCTGCAGTAGAAGTGCCCACATTCTGCTCTCCAGGCATCTCTTACCACTGTGACACAGTACTCACAGAGGAGTTCTTGAAATATCTCTTTGTCTACCTCTGGTACAGGGTAACCTGGCATTGTTATTGCTGTCTGATCTTTAATACAGAAAGTAGCTCCATGGGAGCCGCATCAACTGAGGATGAGGTTTCAGTGCTCTTGAAAATTCGAAGGCCCCACCGGTAAGTCTGCAAAACCGGGAGTAAATAGGAATACTTAAAAAGGAGTAAAACGTATTAGTTCAAAATACAATAATAAGTACTTGCCCTTGAAAACCTAATAAGCTCTTTGACTGCACTTCCTTAGAAAATTTTCCTTCTAGGTAATCAAGTTCTGTCAAAGATCGATCCACACGAACATCACGATCGCATGAAAATGATCTCCCACAGCAATAATGATTGAGATTTGCTACTTTTATAGCATACGACTGAATTACGATGGCATTAAGATAAAAGAACAAGTTTCGTGTGAAGCAACTAAGTCCACAGTTTTGAATCATGGAGTAAATATAAATTGATTTCTTGATCATGAAGTTAGCGACCTACCGCTTTCTGTGATCTTCATAGTGTTAAAATCGTCGGTCTCGAAAACTATTGATAGTATACGATAGGAATCGGAAATAGTTAAAATATCTGCCTTAAATTCGCCTTTGGGAAGGAAAGGAAACTTACTTGCCATGTATATGGCACGAGAACCGGAATGAGATACGACAGGAGTAGGGGAAGGGGATGTAGGCTAGTTAGGAAACTTCTTTGTAATTATACACATGTAGATCTGATGGCGCTATTTCGATGAAACATATGCGCAAGAGAACGAGAAAAGCGCCGCGAGTTATGTTAACCTCTCCCTATATAAAGTGAAATTTGATTCAATGTCCAATAAATCAGGGCAGCCAGCCCCCTTATCAGAAAAGGTTTTTTTTTCGCAGTTGCAGGGGCAGATTCTCCAACCAAGAATTTATGCCTATGACCCGAGCCAAGCCAGTAAATCCCTGGTTCAAAAGTAACGTTCCTGACGTACAACAAGGAATCTTTAAAAAAATTTTGAAAAAATTCTTAAAGGAGCACTAGAATAAATAAATTGTTTAAAACTATGGTTTTTCAAATTTACCATGCTCCTCAGTTTCTACAATCTCCGCGTGTGCTTGTTAAAAACGAGATGTTAAACCCTTCAAGATAACAACAAACTCGAAGTACTTCAAATGTTCAATACACTTTATTAGGTCTATTTGTTCAGGATTCAAAAAAAATATCTAGCTTCCTGAATAAATTACTTGAAAAATTCTAGGTTACACTTTAAATCCCATTAATCAATCCAGCTAACTAGCAATACGCTT